TTCCTCGTTTATAAAGTAACCCGGCTCTCCTCTGCCCAGCTCCCACGCGCCCCTATCCAGACCTGGGTGGGGTGGGGGAGGTTAATTTGACTTTCACAATGTGCCCCAAGTGTGCACGTCCCTGTACTGGGGGCAGGGAGGGAGTGGCCACTAGTGTCCTAAAGGTAGGAAGGGGCGACTCAGTCATTTCTCTCTGCGCTGACAGCCACTAAAGCAGATGGAGGCCTTTGCAGGTGACAGAGGGAGAAGGGGGTCCACCTGGCAATCCAGCAAGCTGGATTCAGATGCCTGGATGAGGAGCTGTGTGCTGCAGGCAGGTTGTGGGGTCAGAGACAGCCCAGGATCTTTCTCAGAAGAGCCCAGCACCCAGTCAGCAGAAAGGTTCCATCTGGTTTCCTGAGGGAATTACAGAACCTACTCCTGGCCAGGGGGTCCACCACCCTGCTCCTGCCTGAGGCCCAAGGAGATAATGACCCTTGGCAGAGGAACCAATGAGCTCGTCCTTGAGTGGTGTCTTTGGGGAGATGCCATTTTCACTTTTCATTCAAAGGTCAGAATTCAGCTGGAGGAGGCAGATTCAGCCCACCTTGCCACTAACACTCGTGGGTGCTGTCCCTGCCTCCTAGGGCTGCACCAGAGGACCCTCCCCAGGGAAGGACTCCCCTTGCACACCAGGGAGTGGCTCCTCCCTGAGGCTGTTCTGCTCCCTCTCCAATGCAGCTGACCCAGTGACTGCCTAACCCCAGACGTGGACTTGCCTGGAGGGAGCCTAGTGAGAGGCCGAGTATGCTGCTCAGACTGGATGCCCCCAGAACCTGGGCCTTAGATATCTGTCCATTACTCAATATATGTTGACCCTGGCCACAAGGTCCCCCAGGGCTGATTCTCTAGGCTGACCTCCAAATGGCCACTAGGAGCCATCAGGGCGCCCTCTTGTGGAAGCCTATGATTCCCTCTGCTCTCTGGGGCTGGTCTCCAGAAGGCGTCCCTGTCTTCTCTAGCCCCTTGGTCTGGCGTGGGCAGTTAGCCCATGCCTGCTGTGAGCTGTGCACCCATGCAGCAACCAATCCTACCTCTGTCTCTGAGTCTACCCTCCTCCCAGTCCTGGATCTCCCGGTGGCAGGGCCACCCTTCTTCTCTGACCTCCCAGAAAGAAAGCAAAGCCCTCTCTTTGGAATATCCCTCTCTCCTCCATCAACACAAATGCTGAGGAGAGGACCCAGCCCCATAGCTCAGCCTGGCTGCTGCTCTGACTGAAGTGCACTACAGCCAGCTGTTTCCAACAAAAACTGTGGCACTGGCCCCTGGAGAGCGTAGCCACCTGCCACTCCTGGAGCACGGACCTCCAGTCCTGTCACCTTCTGCAGCTGCAGGCTGTGCTGGCCATTGGGCAGGACACAGGCTGCAAGGTCTCAGCAGCAGCTGCAGGGCGGGGCCCTGAGGCAGCTCCTAGACCAGATGGTTGGCCTGAGTCTGGAGAGGTACTGCCCACACCACTGTCACCCCAACTAGGGCTCTGTGGTGGTGTCCTGTCATCTCTGTACCTGAGACCCAGCATGGTCCCCAGCACCAACTCAGTGCTGCCTAGACCAGCCTGTCTTTCAGCACAGGGCAAGCAGGGGGTACTTGAAGTTAGATCTTCTGACCTAAGAGGTGTAGGGCCTTCTTGCCACTGTCCCCTCCTCTTCTCTGGCCTATCCCTAGTTGGGCAGGCCATCCTGGTATTGCAAGCCTCCTTTTGACCATCTCTGCACTGCTATCTCTTGGTTCTGGAGGCAGAGCACAGCAGTGTCCAGTCTGAGAAGATACTGCTAGATAGCTGCCATGGAGGAGCTGGGCATGGCTACTTGACGCTGAACACCCCTCTGTGCCCATCCATGCACCCGGCAGTGGACACAGCAACCTGGGCTCTGACACGGGAAGGGATGCACCTGACCACACTGCCCAGGGAGCACCCTGGAGAAGGCCAAGCAGGAGTGGAAAGTGACCTCAGGGTCGGAAGGGTCAGGTAAGGCCACGCTAAGGAGGTGATCTCTGAGCAGAGATAGGAA